GAAAAATTAAGAAAAGCTCAAAGCACTCCATGTTAGTCTCAGAAGAAAGTCAGACGATCCCTTTTATGCTCATGTAGTGTTTCCTTTAAAGATGTGTCAAGGCTCTAATTCTAGGGGCACCCGGGCGGCTCAGCGGTGGAACGTCTGCCTTCGGCTCAGGGTGTGACCCCAGGTCCTGGAATCGAGTCCCCCATCGGGCTCCCTGCATGGAGCCTGCTTCTCCCTCTGCCTGTGTCTCTGCCTCTCTCTCTCTCTCTCTCTCTCTCTCTCTGTGTATCTCATGAATAAATAAATAAAAATCTTAAAAAAAAAGAATTTGGTCTTCTGATCAATTGGTATTTTTAAGAATTTATATTTCATGGATATCAATCTCATCATTTTTGATGAAATTACAATATTACCAGTTTGCTTTTTGTCTTCTTCTCTTGTTGATGTTTTATGCCCTAAAAAAAATGACCTTATGTTGAAAAATATTCTTAATGATCTGCAGGGGAAAATTCAGACAATTCTATTTACAGAAATTTAAAATGTTATTATATACGGATATTCCTTATATAATTTCCGAAATTGGTTTAGCAGTCATTCAAGTCATCATATGGTATCACATGAGGTCACCTAATACAGGATGCATTTCACTCGGTTCCTCATTATAACCTCAGCAGCACAGCAACCCTCACTTCTCAACAACCAGCACCACACACGCTTGTGCATGGCCCATGTGCATGAAATGTGCTTGTCTGTGGCAAAAGACCTTGACACATTTTACACGGCAAAGGAAATGAGAAGTAAGGTGTATCACTGAGGTCCTAAACAACTAAGCCAGGTGTCTTTTTTTTTTTAATTTATTTATTTTTATGATAGTCACAGAGAGAGAGAGAGAGACAGAGACACAGGCAGAGGGAGAAGCAGGCTCCATGCACCGGGAGCCCGATATGGGATTCGATCCCGGGTCTCCAGGACCGCGCCCCTAGCCAAAGGCAAGCACCAAACCGCTGCGCCACCCAGGGATCCCTAAGCCAGGTGTCTTACTGCCAGAGAATTAACTATCATTTAAGATATTAAAAATTCTGCTTTTAAAACAAATGTTACACTAACAAGCATAATTATAAAACTAATGGTCTGCAAACGTCCATCCCTGAGTAAGCCAATTTCAGTTAGAGGTGTAACGTGGGGGCCCTCATCTATTACAGGGCAAAGCCTTTGCTCAGGAGAGAAGAAAAAACAAAACACCAAGATGCCAAATCAAGATACATTAATTAAAATGCTGCTTTTATTTATACCCCAAAAAGCAAGTATTTACACTTTGTTTCCTTACATATAAAATCACAATTGCTGGTTAATTCTAAACGACAGAAATCAGCTTTTCTGAAATTAATTTTTTAAGGTACAGAAGCTCCCTTAAAGATCTTTTAAAGAATTAGGGGCACCTTGGTGGCTCAGTCCATGAAGCGCCTGCCTTTGGCTCAGGTCATGATCTCAGGTCCTGGGATGGAGCCCCGCATTGGGTGCCCTGTTCTGCGGGGAACCTGCTTCTCCCTCTCCCTCGGCACCTCCCCCCTCCACTAGTCCTCTCTCTTACTCTGTCTCTAAAATAAAGGAAAAGAAGGGAAATGAGTGGGAAAAATTAGAGAGGGAGACAAACCCTGAGAGACTCCTAACTCTGGGAAACACAAAGGGTTGCGGAGGGGAAGGAGGGTGGGGAGATGGAGTGACTGGGTGACAGGCAGTGAGGCAGGCACATGATGTGCCGGGTGGCACATAGGTGTTATACTATATGTTGGCAAATTGAATTTAAATTAAAAAATGTAAAAAATAAAAAAAAGCAAAAAATAAAATAAAATCTTAAAAAAATAAAATCAAAATACCTTTTTAAAAACTGAAAAGAACACGTAAAGGTTTTGCTTTCAAAAGTAAGTAAACTTATAAAAAGTGTAACATTGTATTACTACATGACTTTAGGGTTTACGGAAATGCTTTGCCATGAAGTGGTGCAGGTGCTCCTTACGAGCCCCACATCTCCCCACCTAGGGCATCTGTGTTTGAATATCCTGTGACTTGGGGTAAAGCTACCCAGAGAGCAGAGCTCCTCCCCTGAAGACCTTCCCTTATGAACCCACAGGTCTGAAAGCTTAACCAAAGCCCCAGAGCCCCTTGGGCCAACCAAAGCATCAAATGTAAGGACTCCTGGTTAGACATGAATCAAAAGCATCAACCAAAAAATGTCAAGTTAAAAAATAAATGCATAAAGGCAAACTAACGTACTGAACTAAGTTCTGTTCAGAACAAAATGCTACTCTGACTTGCACGTCAAGAGGAAAGCCTGCCGACGCCCCCACGGACGGGGTGTGGCATAACCTCTCCAGGGGAAACACAGTCATAGGTATCGATATTTTAGTACAGCTTCCAAAATACCCTCTAAGCCAGAAATCCCGCAGCCACAATTGACTCCACGACTAAAGCTCCTAATACAAACAAGCCTATTTGCAGCACATTCTCTGTTTATCGAAGGAAGAGCAAGACGAGGAAACGGGAACCAGCTGGATAAAGGTCGGTTCCTATAGCAGAATTTTATGTCCACTGTTTACTTAAAATGCTTCTCTTTGCGCTCCTCTAGTTTTCTAGGCTGCCGTGAAGTCCTTGGTCCTTCCTTTACCTGCCAGTGTCGGAAGGAGCGGATTCTCAGAGTCCTCTGAATGTGATCGTGAGGAAGGAGACCTGCTTCCCGGGGAAGCAGGGTCTGCAGCCTCCTCTCGGCGGCCCCTGGGGGGGATCGTGGGAGGGAGAGGCAGCACCCCAGAAGACGCATCCACCCACCACCCACCCACCCAAGACACAGCACAGGGTGCTCTGGGCACTGAACCTTCGGCAGCTGTTCAAGCCACAAATGCAGGGAAAACACGCCGAACGTTCCCTGTTCCTGGGCGGGGAGGGGAGCGGGAAGGGGCGTCGCTGTCACCTGCTAACACTGCTCTTGCCCAGGGAAGCCGCGTGCAAGACCTTAAGTTCCCTGGAATTTGTTCACTATTTGAGGCTTTAGCTTTGTGTTTGCCTAACAGTGTAAACAGGAATGCGCAGAGCAAAGCCTCTATCACAGTGAAAGGCGTGACCTCAGGGTGAACAGCTACTGGCAGAGGAGGCTCACAGAGGACCAAAGTCCTGTTCCAATCGCACAAATGTTTAAAAAATGACTCACCCGTGTGTGTGGATGCAGCTTCCACCTCTCGACTCTCGTCTTCTTTTAAAAAGTCATCTAAACTCTGATTATTCGGATGACTCCAGGCCCTTCAGCAGATCAATCTGTAAGATGTCCCGACAGGGTCCCATTGTTTACAGCTGTTTCCGAACCATCCTTCGAGAATGTCTTTGGTTCACCCTGATTTTAAGGGACTCTGGTCTACCAGACAGTGTCTTTGGCTGCTCTCCTCATTGCCCCATTGACCCAGCAGGGTCTTCAGGGCTGCACACGTGGCTCGTAGCTTTGCATCTTCGTCTTCAGCTCCGTCTAGCTCCCCCCGCACCCCACTTTTCTTTATAATTGTTCCATCTTGCATAATTGATTTTGTTCTTCTGCAGCATAAGTCAACTAGCCCTTCGGTTATGGGCTTGTACGCCAGCCGCTGTGGCTCCTGCAGGCCGCGCCGGCTCCTGGCAGAGAAAGAACCCCCGTCAATGGGAGGTGCTGCATCAGGTCTTGGCTACACTCTCGTGGTCTTTTAAAGCTAATTTTGTGCTCCTCTAAAGAAAAAATAAAAGCCTGCTACAAGATCAAATGATTATACCACAGAGACCTTAGCCAAGAAAAGCGTTAGTATTTTTTCTCCATCCCAAATACAGTCAAATTGTTACCAATTTTTTTCCTCAAGTTTTAAGATTGACTACTTTTTAAGCTTTATGTGAATAATGGCTTTGTTAGTGCTATTTGAAACCTATGACTAACAAAGTTCCAGTAAATATTTACATCCAAAAATATTTTTCTTTTATTAGTACCTGTAAGTTAAAACAAACAAACAGGGGCGCCCGGGTGGCTCAGGTGGTAAAGCGTCTGCCCTCTGCTCAGGTCATGATCTCAGGGTCCTGGGATTGAGCCCCACGTTGGGCTCCCTGCTCTGCGGGGAGTCTGCTTCTCCCTCTCCCTCTGCTTGAACTTGCTCTCTCTCTCTCTCTCTCTCCAAAAAATAAATTCTTTAAAAAAATAAATAATAAAAAAATAAGCAAAACAAACACCACCACCTTGGGGCATGAGGCACCCACTCTGTTGGAAAATTACAAGGGTACCTGCACATATTTGGAGTTATTGAAGGCTCAGAGCCTTAGAAGTCAAAAAAAAATTGCAAAATGGAAAGAGTTTATGTCGTTCTCTTATTAAATAAAAAAAATGTAACTACAGTAAGCAATTCATTTCTTGACAAAAGGAAGGTCTGGTCTTTATTAATTTATGGGCATGAGAATTGATTAGCCTTGGTTTCACATGAAAACAACATTCAGGGCAGCCCGGGCGGCTCAGTGGTTCAGCGCCTGCCTTTGGCCCAGGGCCAGACCCTGGAGTCTCGGGATCGAGTCCCGTGTCGGGCTCCCTGCGTGGAGCCTGCTTCTCCCTCTGCCTGTGTCTCTGCCTCTCTCTCTCTGTCTCTCTCATGAATAAATAAGTAAAATCTTTAAAAAAAGAAAATTCATCTTTCATTGGTAAATATACTAATTTAATCAGTTTACTGCTAAATGTAAAAGATTATGAAGTATGCGGAAATGCTTAAAATTATGTGAATGACGAATATAAGCATTTGAAAAATTTGATCTCAGGGAAAGCACATCTGAAAATTATCCTCAAAATGTTCTTTTCTGTATATTATTGCTGAAGAATTTCAGTGCAATTGAAGGCATCCAAACAGACCAACTGGTAGCCAAGTAATCCGTGTTTTCCTTCTATGGGAAATCCTACTGCCTGACCTCACTGTTACAAGTTCATTAAAACAACAAACAAAAAACCACTACCAACGACATCAGTGCTTGCTTCAGCAGCTCATAGGCTAAAATTGGAACAATACGGAAAAGATCACATGGCCCTGTGCACAGATGACACACGAATTCAGGAAGCATCGCAGTTATTTATTTATTTTTGAGTGAGAGAGCGCGCGGGTGTGCACAGGAGCTGCGGGGCCAGGCTGGCAAGGAGAGGAGGGAGGGAATCTCATGAGGGCTCCCTGCCCAGGCCCGCGCGGGGCTCAGGCTCGTCACTCTGAGCCCAGGACCGGAGCTGACATCAACCGACTGAGCCCCCCAGGGGCCTTGAGCAGCCCAGATTGCTTTAAAAAATCATAAATAGGGAACCCTCTTACACTGTTGGTGGGAATGTGAACTGGTGCAGCCACTCTGGAAAACTGTGTGGAGGTTCCTCAAAGAATTAAAAATAGACCTGCCCTACGACCCAGCAATTGCACTGTTAGGGATTTACCCCAAAGATTCAGATGCAATGAAACCGTGGGACACCTGCACCCCGATGTTTATAGCAGCAATGTCCACAATAGCCAAAGTGTGGAAGGAGCCTCGGTGTCCATCAAAAGATGAATGGATAAAGAAGCTGTGGTCTATGGATACAATGGAATATTCCTCAGCCATTAGAAACGACAAATACCCACCATTTGCTTCAACGTGGATGGAACTGGAGGGTATTATGCTGAGTGAAGTAAGTCAATCGGAGAAGGACAGTGTATGTTCTCATTCATTTGGGGAATATGAATAATAGTGAAGGGGAATATAAGGGAAGGGAGAAAAAATGTGTGGGAAATATCAGAAAGGGAGACAGAACATGAGAGACTCCTAACTCTGGGAAATGAACTAGGGGTGGTGGAAGGGGAGGAGGGCGGGGGGTGGGGGTGAATGGGTGACGGGCACGGAGGGGGACACTTGACGGGATGAGCACTGGGTGTTATTCTGTATGTTGGTAAATTGAACACCAATAAAAATTAATTTATTAAAAAAATCATAAATAACAAAGCTACAGATTGATTTGAATTTTTAATTAGGCCTTTTGAATAACAAAAGCAATAGATGCTTCTTGAAACAAATCAAACAGTATAAGGACGAACAAGGGACACAGTGTCCAGACCCCACTCCGCGCTCCTGGACACGGCGAAGGCCAGAGCCTGGCTCCGCACCCGCATCCACGTCCGGGAGCTTCTCACGTTCCTGGCCTTTGTCCCCAGTATCCCGGCGCCACCGCTTGGCACAGACGCGAGGATACAGCCCGGACGCCGCACCACGGCCTCCACCCTCCATCGTCTCCCCGCCCTCACCGACCTGGGCCTCCCCCGCAGCCGCTTCGGCACCAGACGGCACCAAACACCCGGAGACCGCGAGGCAGGGCAGGAGCACCGCTCTCTAAATGCATCCGGACGGGGAAGGCTGCCCTCCGCGCCCCTGACCCCAACGTGTTGAACGTGCGGCCCAGGTAAGTCTGCACCGCAAGACGCCAACTCGCTACACGGTGCTGCGAAGCCTGGTTACAAGGGAGACACCCGGACAGAGGGCCGGAAAGCCCAGGCTCTCTCTCCAGTGTCGACATGAACGGCCAGTGTGACCCCGAGAAGCTACATCATTACGTGGAGGCCCATTTCCGCCTCTAAATAATGAGTCGCTTCAACTAGATAACTCTGGTCCCTTCACACCGAAATCAAGGATCCTGCACTGTTCAGTGAACGCTGGCTTTACGACACCCCAGAGAGCACAATTCACTAAAAGAACCTCTGTGTAACTCCCACAAAGGGTTTGCTCACAAACTAACAGTGCAAACAATATTAAATAAAAAATATTTTAACCACTCAAGAAAGCAAACCTGGGTGGCTCAGCGGTGAGCATCTGCCTTCAGCCCAGGTCATGACCCCGGGGTCCTGGGATCGAGTCCGACGTCGAGCTCCCTGCATGGAGCCTGCTTCTCCCTCTGCCTGGGTCTCTGCCTCTCTCTCTCTCTCTCTCTCTCTCTGTCTGTCTGTCTCTGTCTCTTATGAATAAATAAAATCTTAAAAAAAATGCAAACTGTGTATGTACTTCCATAAGAACATTATAATTACCTATTTATGACTTATATGCCAATCATAACTACAATGGTCATTTTATTGAAGCAGCATGACTAAAAATCTCACATTATTTTATGTTTGGCTCAGTTCGAATTGTTACAGATCTTGAAAATACTAAAATTAATTTTAAAACAATGTGGTAAGTGTTGAATGGCTATTGGGAACCTGGCTCTATTTCCACCTCAGCCATTCAGTTTCCAGGTTAAGTTGCTTCACTTACAAAATTAAGAAGTACCCCCAGAGCTGTAGGGTTGACTCACTCGTTAAATGGGTCTTCATCAAGCCTGTGCCGTGTGCCGGGCAGACACTGCACTGTTCCAGGGCTACAGCTGCGGGGAGGACACCAGGCCCCCCACCGCTGGGATGGCACAGGGCACACACCTACAGTTCTGCACACCGCATTCTTTTTTTTTTTTTTTTTTTTTAGATTTTATTTATTTATTCATGGGAGATGCACAGAGAGAGGCAGAGACACAGGCCGAGGGAGAAGCAGACTCCCTGCAGGGAGCCCAAGCAAGAATCGATCCCGGGACCCTGGGGTCACCTGAGCTGAAGGCAGACGCTCGCCCGCTGAGCCCCCCAGGAGCCCCTCCACACTGTTTTCTTTCTTTTTTTTTAATTTTTTATTTATTTATGATAGTCACACAGAGAGAGAGAGAGAGAGAGAGAGAGGCAGAGACACAGGCAGAGGGAGAAGCAGGCTCCATGCACCGGGAGCCCGACGTGGGACTCGATCCCGGGTCTCCAGGATCGCGCCCTGGGCCAAAGGCAGGTGCCAAACCGCTGCGCCACCCAGGGATACCTCCACACTGTTTTCTAATTCAAACTGGCCCTCTCTAGAATTGGACTTGACTCAGTTAAATTTAATATATTTCTGTTAAAAGACTCGTGTCATTTTTTACCAATATTCTGCTGTGTTGTTTTTGTTGTTGTTTGAGAGAGCGCAAGTACGCGATTGGGGGGTGGGGGCTGAGACAGTCCTGGGCAGGCTCCACGCCCAGCACCAGGCCCCCCCACCCCCGGGCTCAGCCTCACAACCCCGAGATCACGACCTGAGCCAGAATCAAGAGCCTCGTGCCCAACCGACTGAGCCACCAGCTGCCCGTCTGCGATTCTTGAAAACTGAAAAGAAAGTAAGTGCTTACTTCAATTGGCAGAGAGACTTGATTGCTGCAAAGTTACAGGAAAGGGTGACCCAAGTTACTTCACATCCACGCGTATCATTTAGCTCATGAAATGAAAACGTACCTGCAGCTTCATGTGCTTGAGCTTTGTCTCACTCAGAAACACACGAAACAGAGGAAGTGCAACCCGGCCCCAGGCACCTCTCAGGCCCCGTCCTCCTGTGAGAGAAGGGGGTGAAGCCAAAGCTGTGGCTCACAGAGCGGAGGGCATGCCTGAGAGCGAGGGCGCCAACAGCCTGGAGAGACCCCTGCTGCCCCTCTGCTCCCCCCACTTTAACCTCCCCCAAGTATTCCTGAAACAACAATTTTTGGGATTTCAGCTTTGTAAGTTTACACAGACACAGAAATCCAGGGGCACTGGGGGGCTCAGTGGACTGAACGTCCGACTCCTGGTTTCCATTCAGGTTGTGATCTCAGGGCCATGAGATCGAGTCCTGCGACAGGCTCCCCATTCCGCGTGGCGCCGCCTTCTCCCCCTCTGCCTCCCCCCGCTCGCATGCACGCTCTTTCTCACTCTCTCAAATTAAGAAAACAAACCCAAGAAACCTTACTTCCAAAATCTAATCTTAGAAAACACTCTGTAAAGTACTTAATTTTTCTTTAAATAAGGAGGACTTTAACATAAGTTTTTAAGTGTCTTGACTTGTTACTTTTAAAAGATGCAGACTCCTGGCACTCCCTCCATTTAAGCAGGAGGACAAAGTATTTCTGTAAAGGGTCACAGAGACCCTGTTGGAAGAAAACTTCTTTAAAACAAAAAATAATCAATTCCCAGCCAGCTCTAGGAAGAACCTTCCCAAACACAAAGCTAACCCCCTTGTTTCCTTCCTGGTTTCTGCTAGGATGACTCACTAGAAATCACGCGCGTGCTGTCCTGAAGTTACAATGCATATGTGATGTTTAATATCCTTCCGGTAAACAGAAAAAGCAAACACAGAAAAGGATAAAGGAGTTTTTCAAACAAGTTTCTAGGGATAAAATAAGAGTCCGCGAGCAAGGAGTTGTTGGTTTTAATTATATCAAGAGAAAAATAGACATCTCCTGAGGTTTAAGAAAAAAAATCCACTTTGAGAGAGAACATGATTAACGGCTGTCCTAAACTGTAAATCTACAACCTTCGAGGGCATAGGTGAATGAAACCCTACTGTTTTCCCCCAGATTACTCACAGTTAATACAACTGGCAAGGAGTCTGAAGGTTGTCAGGAATTTCTAATCACTTGCTCCCAAGTTATCTTCAAGCATTCTTTCTCATAGCAGCTTAATAACAAGCAGCAGGGACATGGAAATTCCTTCTGTCTGACAGCGGGGGTGTAAGAACAGAATTCAGATGAAGAACTTCTTTCAAGTCGCCAGAGCTGACAAATGTGAAAAATGTGCCAGACTCTGCAAGCTACAATTTCTGTAATTAGAAAAATGGAAACCTTTTCAATGGTGCTGCCCAAACCTGAGGGGTTTTTTTTTCAGACAAATGAACAGTAATTTTATTTTTATGTATGACTTTCTCTTACTGGAAAATGACTATTCCTATTGATTAATTTCTCTGGATTTGAGCTTTAAATGGCAAAAAACAAGAGCACTTGAGGTGCCTGGGTGGTGCAGCCAGTTAAGCTGGTTTCAGCTCAGGTCATGATCTCTGGGTGGTGAGACACAGCCCCGTGCTGCGCGCAGCCCACGGCTCACGGTCAACTGCACATTCTATATCCCTCTCCCCCTGCCCTTCCCACTTGTGCTCACTCTAACTAAATAAGTCTTAAAGATAAAAATAAACAAATTAAAAAAAAAAACAGGAATCATTACATGGATATATATGAACCTATTATATGGAATCATATCTCATCTAGTTTGAAGAT